ACGGACTTGAAGTTCCAGCATCCATCGAATAGAACGTCCAGTAGGGATAGCAGAACAAAACATCAAATTTAAAAAAAAGAGTGGAATATTCCACATCTGAGGAGTTACATGCCCTTGGTTTGAGATAGATTAGAAGCAAACCAAGCCAAACTAAATAAACCCAAGCCACCAAAATTCTCCTCCTATTAGATCCTAAAATGAATTCTGGAGAAAGAAATGGGGTACAAAAAACAGAGGTGACACAAGAAATCTGTAAAAATTAATGTTAAATATGTGTCACTAAGACAAACATTTTAAAGCAATAATCTGGACCTACAGTTCCAAGTGACATCCACACAGGACACTGCAGAACATAGGCAGGGGAGGATTGATTAACTTCGGGTATTATTTAAACAATTTAATATTGTGGATACATGTTCCAAATGCAAGAGCGGAGCCTGGTGGTAACCACCACGTGCGATGCTGCTGTCTCATATCAGAACGCTGGTTTGCATCTCCACTGTTCTGCTTCTGATCCCGCTCTTTGCTACTACACCTGAAGCAGCAGCAGAGGACGGTCCACATGCGTGGGTCCCTGCTACCCACGTGGGAGACTGGGATGGAATTCTGGGCTCCTGGCTTCAGTATAGACCACCCTGATCATTGTGGCCATTTGGGGAATCATTCTGTCATTCAATTTTCTAATCTGACTTTCAGAGAGTAGGATTTCTGTAAATATATTTGCTCTCCCATTTCTTGACCTGTATGTATAAACTTGATTCAAGACTATCTACTTTGTTACTACTGCATCTCAATAATTAGAAATATTCAGAAATCAAGTAAAAATGTTGTAAAGAATCTTCCCATTTTATATTGTCATCTCCATTTAGTGTTATACCTAACTTTGGGACCCCAAGGTTAGGTGGGAAATAAGGGATCATTTCTGGTGTTGTTTGAGGAACTTGTTGATAGTTTCCATGGTGAGACCAAACTTACTCTTCATCTTCTAGGCCTCTAAGCACATGAAGGTTATTTGGGTGTCTTGCCCCAGATTTTCATTATTCTCAATGATTTTGAATTTCAAATTTCAGTAACCATTAATTCAAAATTGATTTGCTTGTAGAACCAAATACAAGCCTGTGAATATTTTGTTTCATTAACTAATAACATGAAGTTATTTCTAAATCATTTATTTTATTTATTTATTTTTAAAGATTTTTAAAATTTTATTTAAAAGGCAGAGTTACAGAGAGGCAGAGGCAAAGGCAGAGAGAGTGAGAGAGGTCTTCCATTCACTGGTTCACTCCCCTAATGGCTGCAACAGCGGAGCTGGGCCAATTTGAAGCCAGGAGCCAGGAGCTTCTTCTGGGTCTCTCATGTGGGTGCAGGCACCAAGGACTTTGGCCATCTTCTACTGCTTTCCCAGACCATAGCAGAGAGCTGGGTCAGAAGAGGAGCAGCTGGAACTAAAACCAGTGCCCACATGGGATGCCAGCACTGCAGGTGGTGGCTTTACCCGCTATGCCATAGTGGTGGCCCCTCTAAATCATTTAATACCAGCCTCTACCTCTCCCTAATCCTTTGTTACTCTTGCTATAGAGAAAAATACTTTAACATTATTTGTAAGGAAGACTTATTTACAACATTTTAGAGTTAAGACTAAGATCTAATTCAAAGTGACTACTCAGTGTGTGCCATGTAGGCATTCCCTTTCTCTGGGTTTATTTTTCTTTATTCATCATTTTCCCTATCTCTTTTGATCTCAAAATTATCTATTTTATTTTTTAACTTTTAGCCTTTTATTTAAGGTACACAAACTTCATGAATTTCATAAATACAAATTTAGGAACATCGTGATTCTTCCCACCCTACCTACCCTCAACCCGCACTTCCACCCTTCTTCCTCCTCCCTGTCCTATTCCCAATTCTTTCTTTCTTTTTTTTTTTTTGACTAAGGTCTATTTTCTATTTTTTAATCTTTATTTAAAGACAGAGTTACAGAGAGAGAGGTAGAGACAGGGAGAGAGGTCTTCCATCCGCTGGTTCACTCCACAGATGGCCACAACGGCCGGAGCTGCGCCAGTCCAAAGCAAGGAGCCAGGAGCTTCTTCCAGGTCTCCCACGTGGGTGCAGGGGTCCAAGGACTTGAGCCATCTTCCACTGCCTTCCCAGGGCATAGCAGAGAGCTGGATTGGAAGAGGAGCAGCCGGGACTAGAACTGGTGCCCATATGGGATGCCGGTGCTTCAGGCTAGGGCTTTAACTCGCTGTGCCACAGTGCCGGCCCCTATTTTCAATTAACTTTATCTACCTAAGATCAATTGTGTACTGAGTAAAGAGTTCGACAAATAGTTAGAAAAAATGTTCCTCAACAATTGAGACAAGGGCTGTTAAAAGTCATCATATGACAAAGTGTCAGTTTTACTTCTATAGATTATCTTTAAGGTGCTCTAATAATTGTAAAACATTATATATATGGTACTTGTCCTTTTGGGGCTGGCTTATTTCCCTAAGTATAATGTTTTACAGTTGCATCCATTTTGTTGCAAATGACAGGATTTCATTTTTTTAACCACTGTGTAGTATTCCATGGGGTACATATCCCATTATTTCTTTTTTTTTCTTTCTTTTAATGATTTATTTGAAAGGCAGAGCTAGAGAGGCAGAGGCAGAGGCAGAGGCAGAGAGAGAGAGCAAGGTCCTCTATCCACTGGCTCACTTCCCAAATGGCCACAATGCCAAGAGCCGGGTCAATCCGAAGCCAGGAACTTGGAGCCCCCTCCATGTCTCCCGCATGGGCATAGGGGCCCAAGCACCTGGGCCATCCTCCACTACCCTCCCAGGACACAGCAGGGAGCTGGATCAGAAGTGGAGCAGCTGCTGCTCGAACCAGCGCCCGCATGGGATGCAGCACTGCAGGCAGTGGCCTCACCCACCACACCACAATGCCAGCCCCCTCCCCCACTATTTCCTCATCCAGTCTTCAGATGAAGGACATTTGGGTTGATTCCATCTTAGCTGTTGTGAATTGAGCTGCAATAAGTGTAGGGTACAGATAACTCTTTCATATGCTGATTTCATTTCCCTTGGGTAAATTCCCAGGAGTGGGATGGCTGGGTCACAGGCTAGGTCTGTATGCAGCTTTCTGAGGTATCTCCATACTGTCTTCCACAGTGGCTGCACCAGTTTACTTTCCCACCAACAGTGGATGAGGGTACCCTTGCCCGCATCCTCACCAGCCTTTGTTGTCTGTTGATTTCTGTATGAGACATTCTCTACAACATCCTTAGCTGCCTCTTTCCCCCTGTATGTGTGGTAGGTGGTCCGGGGAGGGAATCAGATTTCTCACACTCACACTGAGGACAACGTGCCCCAGCTCGTTTGATATCCTGAAAACCCGGGCCCAGAGTGCTTCCGAGACTTGCTGAACAGCACACACGGGATAGAGAGACACGGGCAGGAAGGTTGAGGAAAAGTTGCAGGCGCTGTACTCTGGTGAGTCAGTGGCCAGGAATATCACTCAGATCTGACTTTGAGTTTGTGGTTGTTTTGACTACAGAATGAAAACTGGAAGGTCAGGGCATCAAGGAAAGTTTTGTCCTCAAAACATAACCCACTGTCCAGCTCGTTGTAAAAACAAATAGAGGTCATCTGTCATTTTCTTCACTGTCATCGCCGATTCGGCTCCGCAAGGCCTAACCACACCACCGTGTCTTGGCTGCTGTCTCTCCCATCATCTCCATTTCCAAGTATTTATTTCCCAATGCTTTGTGGGCCTTTTATGCTCCTTTTACGCTGAATTAATTTTTTAAAAATATTTTATTAATTCATTGGCAGGATGTTTTTTTCCACATTTTTATAAGAGCTTTGGCTCTGAAAGAAGTATTTCTTGTACATGTACTTTAACCCCAAAGGAAACCAGAAAAGAAAGTAAGCTGGAACAAGAAATTAATTTTCAATTTACAGGGATATTAACAGATGAAGTCTGGTTACGAGAAATTTCCTGAAATAAAATAACCACATTGCCATCCAATCCTTGCCATCCGTGTGGTTTTTCACAATTCCAAATTAAGTCCAGTTTAAAAAGTGTTCTGTGTCCCTTGCAACAAACATTTCCCTTAAATTTAAGCACAAGGAAAAAAAAAAAAAACTCCATCACGGCAATGAATATTGGAGTGCTTGTATCTGTCGGGTGCTGTGGTGGGCCCTGAGGATACTAAACTGGGTCAGTGGGTGCAGCCAGAGAACCAGGCACAGTCCCAGGCGTTAGCCTCTTAGCAGCCGGCCAATGAGGGGCTGCACACCTGAACTCAACCAGTGGTTACTCCCCTTGTCCCAGGTCCCGGCCTCCTCAGTGCACAGAACACGAAACCCCTGCTGCGTGGAATTCGTCCCGCAGAGGGGAGAAAGTGCGCCACGGAGGAAAAAGCAGCCGGGAGGGCCTGGGAATTCGCGGCTGGTGGGTGCCGCGCGTTGAAGCAGGGTCTCAAACAGGGGAGGCCAGGGGCCCCGAGGCCAGCGGGCCGGGACTGGACAACCGGGAGATCGCCCCAGGGGAAAGGCAGCGCGACAGGGGCCGGGAGGGCCTGGGTCACTCATGAAAGCCACTGGGGCGAGCGGAGGACCCGCACGATCCCATGGAGGCTGAGGGGGACCACGGCGACCGAGGGTGGTCCCGGGAGGGGGGCTTCGCGCTGAGCAGGTGCTGAAGCCGGCCCAGGCCCCGCTCGGTGGACGCCGTTAGGGCACCTGCTGGGTGCACGGCGGGTGTGTGAATGGGAGCGTCAACTCCAGTCTGATCAAGGCGGAGAGGCCCCAGGTGGCCAGGCCGCGGCGGGACGCAGGCGCGGCTCGGTGAAGGCCACGCCCCCTTCAGGGCCGGGTTGGGGAGAGACCGGCCCATTTCCCCGCTCGCCGCAGAACTCGCGTTTCCGGGGGGACTGGATTCTAGAGCGTACCGAACCGGAACCAGGCTGCGCGCCGTCTTCCGCCCGATTTCTGATGCTCCAACTCGCGACTTCTCAGGGGGGCGGGGCCGCGGCGGCCCAGTGCGCAGGCGCCGCGTGCGGTGCGCGCCGGGCTCAATGGCCGGGTCGCACGGTAGCAAGGTCCGAGCCTTGTACAGACGGATCTTGCAGCTGCACCGGGTGCTGCCCCCGGACCTCAAAGCCTTGGGCGACCAGTACGTGAAGGACGAGTTTAGGAGGCATAAGGCCGTTGGTTCTGACGAGGCCCGGCGTTTCCTGCAGGAATGGGAGGCAAGTGACCCAGGGTGTCGGGGTTCCGCGGCGGCGTCCGGCTCGTGCCCAGTACCTCGTGCAGGACGGAGGGCTGCCCGCCCGGGCCGTAAAGCTGCTCCGACGTCGCCTCCCCGAGTCGGGGTCCGGGGACGGGAGGTCACCGGCGTGTCCCATGCCTTTGCACGTAGCCAGAGCCCACGAGTAAAGCGAGGATCCTCTCAGGGCCTCTTGCGGCCGCGACCTGGGGTCCGTCTCCGCGGGCAGCGAGCGCTCTAGGTTGGCTTGCTGCTGGGGCCGTCGGGTAGCGCGCGGAGGGCTGTGTGGGGCTCCCCGCGAGGAAGAGCGGAGCCCGGCCGCGCAGCGCCAGGAAAGTCGGTCTCCCCCGGGTCCCGATCACGGTACCGCGCCCCCGCGCCCTCCGCTCCGGTGGTAACCCCCAAACAGGCTTCTGCGTTAGGGATCGGCTTGGACTAATTTTTTTTTAAGGAACGGAAACAGATACTTAGATAATCTTGTGGGGCTGGGGTGACTTGCAGAAATCAACAAGTGAATGGCTGTTGCACTATCTCAGATTCTTGGGGGAGTCTCGCCCCCAGGGTGGCGAAAGAGGAGGTGACTGAAGTCTCTTTTTAACAGTTCATAAAAGTTCGGATTAGGTGAACACTGCTTTTTCTTTGAATTTCAGAAGCCTTAGTTACAGGATCCCTGGACACTTACAATGTGAAGTTAGAAGTTTCCTAAAAATCACGTCGGATTTGCCTTTCTGGAGCGATGGAAGTTGCATCTTAAAACGCAGACCAGCACGGTTTTTGTGAAGTAATTTGGTCTTGGAGCCAGAAGAACTGGATTCACAGTCGGGCTGTGACATAGTTAGATGGCTTGATTTTTCTGGCCTTACGCGTTTCGAATCGAGTGTTTGCAAGTGTGTTTAAAGGCCCACTGTTTATTGTTAATTGCAGTGAAGCTCTGAGACACTGAACTGCTCATTAAGTGACTTCTTTTAAGTTAGGTCAATGTGTGGTTGGACGGGAAAGCTCATCTTGCTCTGTGTTGGCAAGAAAAATGGCCACTCTGAAAAATGCTGAAGTATAGAGGTTGGAAGTTTTTTGGAGAAAAAAACGGGAACGAGTAGGAACTCAATACATTCATAAGTGAGAGAGAGAGGAAGGGTATTAAAAATAACTGAGTACTTTAGGAGTGTTGTTTGACGAACAGGCTTGTTATTAGGACTGTAGCTGCTGTTTTAACTGCATAGGGTTCCCGTGCAGCCTACAACGGGCTTCCCCTGCTGTGAACGTCCCAGAGAACCAGGGTTCCGTTATCCGTACTGAGAAATGAACATCGCTGTAATGTTATTCACTGGAGGCTGTATTCTTAATTTTGCCAAGACTTCCACGAATGTCCTTGTGCTGCCCCAACATCCGGTCTGGGTCCCATCCGTGCAGACCTGCTTGGGTATTTAAGAAGTACTGGCCGGTTACTCCGTGGAGTGTTCTCTTCTGACTGGGTGGCTGCTGTGTGTTACAAGACTACACAGGGGTGGAGTGTCCTTCTGTGCAGGTGGTATCCGGGAGCCGGAGATCAGCACGACTCCCCATTGGGGCTGGAGCTGTGAGAAGTCGGTTAAGGTGATACCTGCCAGGTGCCTCCCTGTGAAGTTACTGTTCTCTCTCGAAATTGGTACACGTTCTGGGGGCAGGTGCTCAGAGGCCATGACCCTGTTTCTCTTTTAATTTTGCCGGCTGATTTTGCGGTCACTGATGGTTGTAGCCCCTGTGTTGCAGTCGTGTTTGTCTATTTCCCTGATTTCTTCTGAATTTATTAACTGGAAGACTGTTGGGGAGCACTTGTCCCTTCCTCTTCCTTTGTGGGGCTAAGCATTCTCACTCAGGTGTTAGGAATAAAAGAAGTCGTGGTGCTGGGCCCCCAGCGTTAATGAATGGGCAGCTGGGTAAAGTTTAAGCCTAGAGATTTGTCTGGAGAAAGCAGTAATTTTCCAAGTTGCAAGGAAGCTCATTGTAAACCTGGGAGTTAGAGTGGCCGGGTCCTGCCATGTGGTTGCCCTTTTTCAGAGAGAAAGGCTGGAGAAGCTGTGAAAGTTCGGACAGGATTTGGCTCTCCAGACTTGCAGACATTTCAGCGCCACGGTGTTATCTTCCTGGCCAGTCCTGGAAGTGGTTGATGGATGGAGGGGGGCACCTAGCCTACTTATGGTGTCTGGAGGGAGGGCCAGGTGGGCGGACTTTAGGTCCCTGGGGGCTTACCCTGGGTGTTAGTTCCTGGGAGAGGGCTGGTTATTTAAGCTGAGCAGCCGCCTGTCCTGGCTCACCTGTGATCGTCTCCTCTCACTAGATGCCCAAGGCAGCGGGGCTGTGAACCACCAAAACTAAGCTGAACTAGTTCTCCCTCCCTTCCTGTCTGGTATTTCAGCGAAAGTACTGAAACGGTGACTGGTACAGCTGGAGTGACTTGCAGGGGAGAAACACCTGACCAGGGGAGTTATCACTGGAGAGGGATGCCCTTCTGCCTTCCTTCTTGGTTACTTCCCCATGTGCTTTTCAGAACAGATCACGTATCCTGGTTATACCAGGAACTACCAGCGTGGCATGGACTTAGACATCTTTGCTGTGTTTGGTCGGGATTATTCCAGAGCCCACACATGTGGATGCTTCGGTTTCTATCAGGCTAGCAGAATAACGCCATGGGGGACTTCTGCTCTGCTTTGTGGAGTTAGGGCTCTGGGATTCTTCTACACACTTTAAAATTAGTAATAGACGTGAATGGATTTTGAATTTGTTTTGTGTCTTTGGACAGAGTTGGGTGTAGGCTCCACTGGAGAAAATAAAAAGGAGAATTAAGAATGTTAGAGCCCCAGTGTTAGGAAGAGTGCTCTTCATTGGCTCCAGTTGTGCCCACAGAAAACCCACAAACAGCAGAGAGACAGCTGGAGAAGTTTCTGCTGATGGACCAGCTCGGGGAAGGCGGGAGGGAAAATAAGTGAGTTTCATCTTTAGCGTAGCCATGTAGATGCATGTCTACATACTAAGGAGCGATTTTGTGCAACTTCTCAGGATAGCTGAAACAGTGTAAGTTCAGGCAGTGATGTGGCCATCTGTTAGGGGCAGTGTTTGGTAATTACCTGGTGCAGTCCTCCAAGCTTGTAGGAGGTAGCTGTCTGAAGTGAAGTTGGAAGTGGTAGATTGTCGCTCCCCCTCTTCACGGAGGAACGACACAGGACCCTGCGCTGTTCTTTTGTCTGCTCGGCCCTTCCCGGGTTTGCTGCTGGTTCTTCCTGGGTTGGCTGCCGTCCCTTCCACCTCCGTGGAAGGGCGGTGCCCCCTGCCACTTTCCCCACTTCTGCGGGGGAGCGGCACACCGCCGGCCGGCTCTCTCGGGGACTGCTCAGATGTTATTCGGGTGTTCCCCTTAGATGTTCCTGGTGCATGTTGTCTCTCTCCTCCTTTATAGTCCTCTTCCACCAATCTCAACTCTGCTACCCACACGCCGAGTACGCTGCTCTCCTGCAATCAGGAGCAGGATCAGCTCCTGCTGTTTATTGGTCGAACTGGAGGCAGCTGCGTAGAAGCTGTTTCCTCCTCTCCCAGGGCCATATTGTGGGAGAGCAGATGCATAGAATAAGTCTTAATTCCAGTAACTTAGTCTAGTCCGAGTTGCTCCCCACAGTAGATCAGGAACTTACGGTGTTTTTAAAGTTCTAACTATGCTTATTATTTAAAAAGAAATTATTGATTTATTTAAAAGGCATAGTTACAGAAATAGGGGGAGGGGTGAGATAGAGATTTTTCCATCTGCTGATTCACTCCCCAAATAATCACAACTGGGGCTGATCCAGGCTGAAGCCAGGAGCCCTGAGCTCCATCTGGTTCTGCCACATGGGTGGCAGGGGCCCAACCACTTGGGCCTCCTCCATTGCTTTCCCAGGCACATCAACAGGGAGCTGGTTTGGAATCAGAGCTGCTGGGACTCGAACTTGGGGTTATGTGGGATGCTGGTGTTGCAGGGGTTGGCTTAACTTGCTGTGCCACAACACCAGCTTCTAAATATGCTTTATTTTTTTTTAAAGAATAGCTGATTTAGGTAATGGTTTCCCTTTTTTTTCTCCATGCCTGCAACTTTTGTCCTGGGAAGTCAGAATAAGCAGTAAAGATGAAATAGCAAGTCAGCCATGTTGGTGAGTGAAGGTGAGACAACTAGTAACAGTGTTGTTAGGAGCTACTTTGTAAAGAATCTTGTTAACCCCCCCCCCGGTTTTCCCCGACTGTCTTGCATTGTTTTTATTTTTCCCTAAATAACAGCTTTGTTGTTTGCAGTGGGGCCATATCTGTGAGTGGAGAAAGCAAAAAGGCATGAACTTCACATAAATAGTTGGGATCACCAGCTGTTGCAGGCGGTGGGCTAGGCCTTGGGGGACATAGAATGATAATGTATTTTACTGTCATAGTGCTCCAAACGGAGTAGACGAGAATGGAGAATTCTAATTAGAAAGAGTATCTGTTCAGTGTTGTGGGAGCGAAGAGGAATGGAGGAGATTGAGAGGCACATAGCAGGGTTGAGCTGACTGGTGAGCCAGCCAGAGTTAGCGTGGGGAGAACAGGACTTTCTAGAGGGAATAACTGCGGGCACTGAACTAATAAGCAGCGTCACCTTTTACAGGAGCTGTGGGGATGTGTGGATTTTAGTGGCTTGACACAGAACAGGAAGAGATAAAGGTAGAGGTGGTAGGAGACAAGAGTATCAGCTGAGGATTTTACGCTTTGATTTTGGATCATGGAAAAGTTTTAAGCAAAGGCCAGTGTTGTGCAGCAGGTTAAACCACTATGTGTGATGCTGTCATCCCCTAGGAGTGTTCATGGAATCCGAGCTTTGGCCTGATCTAGCACAGGCTGGTGTGGCCGTTGGAAGAATGAACCAGCAGGTGGAGGATCTCTCTCTGTCTCTCTCTAACTCAGCCTTTCAAATAAATAAATCTTTTTTTTTAACAGAAAAATAATTACATT